TATTTTCAGATGTTCTAATGAAACTTCTGTCTGTTCATTCCTCTCTTCAGTTTCTAAAAGAAAAATATTGTCTCTCAAAGAGTTAAAGAATTTTTTACCTCAGTTTCTAAGATTTAATCTTATATTTTAAAAGTTATCTCTTTCTAATATGCATATAGAAAAGCAATGTAAAATGAGAACAGACTGTACTCCAGTGTTTGCAATTAATAGGTACACTTAAGGAGCTACACATGCCAATAACAAATATATATATGTGGAAGCTGTGACTCATTATATGCATAGCCAGTTGATAAAAGCATTTGACACTCATGACATGACAATCATGAATTTATTTTTTAACTATTGCTATCAATTTAATCTGTTTCCTTGACATGAAATATGACTTTTTTTTCAATTCTCCCTTCAAAATTGTTCTTGAATTTTCAGAATGCACAATATTCATACATAAGCCTTAATAAATTTTTGTATAAAGCAAATCCTATACATAACATATATGGTAATATATACTATATATAAAGAGATGGTTTAGCTGCTTAGAAATGGAAATTACCCCTCTTCTACTTCCATGTACAAGAACTAATTTTTTGCTTTACTAGAAAGTGAGATGCTGAGTGCTATGTTATTTCAAAGCTTAGAAATTTAATATTGCTGAGTGTCACAGTTCCTCAACAAATTGTCTTACTCTCTTTCTTAACCCTGAGTATCATGTAGAACTACCTAGGGCTGGTGTGCAATCTATGCACACCTAGCTCTGACTCTTTCCCCCTGTCATATGCCTCCCCTCATTTCATGTTTCTACTGAAGCACATGAGACCCTGATAACTAAAGCTACTTGCCTTACCACAGGAGGGTGGAAAATAGAGATAATGAGAATGGCAAACACCTGCCATCAGTTATGTATTTCTGACAATGAGGGAATAATAATTTTCAATTGATAGTATTTTCTGTCAAAAAAAGGAGTTTACAACCACTGACTTCATCAGGTAATCTTTTAATAACCCAAAATTATTTATTGTAGGAAAGTAAAACTTTATTTTTAATACTGCTAAGCTCAGTTATCTGGAAGTTGTCATTCATGTGTAATTGCGTATAAATTTCTTGTGTGTAGAGGATTTAACTACAAAGATCTGTCAAAGAAAGCAAATGAACCAGTATTTTTCATTATTGTTCAGTCAAAATTTTTAATATTCCATTTAAAAAAGAGTTCTTCCATTGAAGATGTGTTATGGTACCACATGGAGAAACTGCATTCCACCATTAAAGTAGGTAACAAACATTTTAATTCTACTTGAAATGCCACTGTCAACAAAGGTTGAAACAAATTTACTAAAATACTTCCATTACACAGAGACTTGGTGAAATTTTTACCAATAATTGCCATTCCTGAAAGAAATTAGCACATTTTTATGGTGAAATCCTGACCCCACTGCCTCTCAACTACAAATCACAATTATATATAAAAGAAGGATTATTAAAAACTTGCAATCTGACACAATGTATAGCACATCACACTATGTATCCCCAAATGAAATACATCAACTGAATAAGAGAGTAGGCCCACGTCTCTCTTATGAAAAGCTGGGAAAGCTGTGAAAAAGACTGTGTAGAAAATAAGGGGGGAGGTAATATGTTCTGAGCAACACTGGCCAATATAAAGCCATGGAAGATAAGGACATTTAAAGCCACAAATGGACCAGTGGCCATAGCAAGAAAATTCATTTTTCACATAAACACATGCTTTTTTTTATTATAACTTCCTATTATGACTAAATTGTGACTGAAAAATGCATGTATGAATACTGAGAAAGAAAATAGAAAAGAAGAAAGGAAGAGAGAATGTTGATTTGACTAGAAAGTCAAACAATTTAAACGACGGTTTTATAATCCTGACCTCATATATTTTCACTAACTCGTCTCTGACTTACAATGGAAATGATAGGAATTTCTCCCCATTTAGGAAACATGTTAAGAAAATTTGAGAGTTGATGTGAAGTCAAGTCCTGCAGTATATGCTGATGTGAGCAATGATATTTATTCAAGCAGGGCATTAGCATGTGTTTGTAAGTGTGGACTGCAGAAGCAAGACATGCACATTATTTCATTTTCAAGAAAACTCTAGACCTGACAAAAAGCACACATGAGTTACCTAGAAGAGATGACTTAGAAAAATGAACAAGTAAAAACCCAAGTGGAGATATTACATAATATTATAGTTATTTTAATAGTATAGTACAGTTAA